ATGTCACAATACATATTTATAGACTGTATATGAGGCCCCTAGAACCATAAGAAACGCACAAAACTCACTGTTAATAACTCATTCTCGAATTGCCCCCTTAACAATCAAACTGCCCCCCCATGTTGTGTGCCCACGCTGGGAACCTCTGGCCTAGACTATCTGAGTTCTTGAGAGACCAAGAAGCCCCCAGGACCCCTCGGACCTTCTTCCACGCCCAGCGCGGGGCCACCCCCGCTGCCACTCCGATACCAGTCACTGAGCAGCTGACATCCGGTGTCTGTGAGCGGTGGGTCCGACCGTCCGTCCGCAGCGCGTATAACTTAGTCAGCGTGCGCGGCCATAACAACACCAGGGACTGGGTCCCCTTTTTTACTCATTGTAATTCTTTCAACTCTGCTGTTTGAAAATTTTCATTAAAAAATATTAGGAAAGAAAAAAAAAATGCAACATGATTTCCAGGGTTTTCCCACCTGAACTGACTTGAGAACCTCAGTGCAGCTCAGAAAAGCTGGCTGACGTCCTTGGTCCTACCTGGCGGGCAGGGGTTGCCGCTCCATTTTGCAGACGCACAAACTGAGGCCGGGCAGACGGCAGTGACTCACCTGCTAGCGCAGCCACAGCGATGGTCCCACTGGCCTCGCGGACTCCCGAACCAGGCGGGGCCGCAGCTCGGCTCCCTCTCCTCCCCTCGGCTTGGGCACCTGGCAGCTCCCGGGCTCACACCTCCCTTCGCCCTAGACATTCCCACGCCACAGCGCCCTCCCTCAGGAAGAGCTGATTGGTCAGCTTAGGTCACGTGCCCACCCGAGAGCCAATCCACGGCAGGAGTCTTGGCTCTGCCCACCAATGGCAGCTCCCACCCTAACACCTGTTGAGCATGGGAAGCGTCTGTGTTCCCACCCGCCCCACTGAGGCCTCGGAAGGAGGAAGCTTCCAGAAAACTCCATCTCCAAGGGCCTGGGCCCCAGACGTGCCTCCCAAGCTGCAGGTGGGGAACTGGAGCCCATGCGGCCTCCCCATTCCCTACCCTCAGCCCGAGGCCGCCACCCCTTCCCTGCAAGACCCCAATCCGGTATGGCTGGCGTGGAGAGCTGCTCCGATGTCCCCTGGGCCTCCGGTCCCAGGAACTGGCTCCGGGCTGTCCGGCCGCACTGGTTTCCCCTCCCTCCAGGCCCCAGCAGGCCCTGTGCCCGGCTGGCCCAGGCCTGGCTCTGATGGACGAGGGCCCCACACGAGTGGCCGCAGAAACGTTTCCGAAGGTGGTGAGGGACCACGCTCCGTGCAGGCTTCCATGACAGCACCAGCCAGAAATCCCAGCGAGGCTGGAGGCGGCCAGTGCCCGGCCAGACTGCTGGGCTGGGCTGGGCACAGGAGGAGGGAGGCCCTGGGGGGCGAATGGGACACGGAGCAGGTGGGCTAAGCTCAGGGCCGGATGGGGTGCAGCTTGCGTGGGAACGAAGGGCTGGATGCTGAATCCCTGGGGGTCAGAGTGGGCCTCGGGGGGGGAGGGTGCTCTCAGTCCAGCGCCCCTGGCTGAGGGTGGTGTTGGGACACCCCCTCGGGGGGAGGGTGCTCTCGGTCCAGCGCCCCTGGCTGAGGGTGGTGTTGGGACACCCATACACCCAGCCTGTCCACCTCTCGTCTGGCACTGGGTTTCCGACGGGAATGGGGTTTGGAGTCTGATCAACGGAATTTGAATTCAAGCTTTGTCTCTAAAAAGTTCTGTGACTTTGGGCAGTCGAGTTACTCCCTCTGAACCCAGCCTGCTCATCTCTGATTGGGCAGGGCCATGCCCACCTCGCTGGGTCGCCAGGAGGAATAAATGAAGGACCACCTGCCAGTGGCCAGGACCTGGGCACACTGCTGGAGAGAATGGTCATTGCTCCCAGCGGGTCCCCGAGGGGCACTCAGAAGCTTGAACGCCGGGAGTCCTAGCGGGGCTGGACACGGGCATGGACTGTGTGCCTGAGCCACGCTCCTCAGCACAAAACTCACTGTTAATAACTCATTCTCGAATTGCCCCCCTTAAGAATCAAACTGCCCCCCTGTGGGCGTGTGCCCCACGCTGGGAACCTCTGGTCTAGACTATCTGAGTTCTTGAGAGACCAAGAAGCCCCCAGGACCCCTCGGACCTTCTTCCACGCCCAGCGCGGGGCCACCCCCGCTGCCACACCGATACCAGTCACTGAGCAGCTGACATCCGGTGTCTGTGAGCGGTGGGTCCGACCGTCCGTCCGCAGCGCGTATAACTTAGTCAGCGTGCGCGGCCATAACAACACCAGGGACTGGGTCCCCTTTTTTACTCATTGTAATTCATTCAACTTTGCTGTTTGAAAATTTTCATAAAAAATATTAGGAAGAAAAAAAAATGCAACATGATTTCCAGGGTTTTTGCACCTGAACTGACTTGAGAACCTCAGTGCAGCTCAGAAAAGCTGGCTGACGTCCTTGGTCCTACCTGGCGGGCAGGGGTTGCCGCTCCATTTTGCAGATGAATAAACTGAGGCCGGGCAGACGGCAGTGACTCACCTGCTAGCGCAGCCACAGCGATGGTCCCACTGGCCTCGCGGACTCCCGAACCAGGCGGGGCCGCAGCTCGGCTCCCTCTCCTCCCCTCGGCTTGGGCACCTGGCAGCTCCCGGGCTCACACCTCCCTTCGCCCTAGACATTCCCACGCCACAGCGCCCTCCCTCAGGAAGAGCTGATTGGTCAGCTTAGGTCACGTGCCCACCCGAGAGCCAATCCACGGCAGGAGTCTTGGCTCTGCCCACCAATGGCAGCTCCCACCCTAACACCTGTTGAGCATAGTGCTGAGGAAGAAGTCACTAAGAAATTGTTTTAAAAAATAACACTATGAAGTGATATGAAAAAATAGCAAATAAAGTTTCAAAACATGATAGAGAACTGAAATGCACAAATGTCACAATACATATTTATAGACTGTATATGAGGCCCCTAGAACCATAAGAAACGCACAAAACTCACTGTTAATAACTCATTCTCGAATTGCCCCCTTAACAATCAAACTGCCCCCCCATGTTGTGTGCCCACGCTGGGAACCTCTGGCCTAGACTATCTGAGTTCTTGAGAGACCAAGAAGCCCCCAGGACCCCTCGGACCTTCTTCCACGCCCAGCGCGGGGCCACCCCCGCTGCCACACCGATACCAGTCACTGAGCAGCTGACATCCGGTGTCTGTGAGCGGTGGGTCCGACCGTCCGTCCGCAGCGCGTATAACTTAGTCAGCGTGCGCGGCCATAACAACACCAGGGACTGGGTCCCCTTTTTTACTCATTGTAATTCTTTCAACTCTGCTGTTTGAAAATTTTCATTAAAAAATATTAGGAAAGAAAAAAAAAATGCAACATGATTTCCAGGGTTTTCCCACCTGAACTGACTTGAGAACCTCAGTGCAGCTCAGAAAAGCTGGCTGACGTCCTTGGTCCTACCTGGCGGGCAGGGGTTGCCGCTCCATTTTGCAGACGCACAAACTGAGGCCGGGCAGACGGCAGTGACTCACCTGCTAGCGCAGCCACAGCGATGGTCCCACTGGCCTCCGGGACTCCCGAACCAGGCGGGGCCGCAGCTCGGCTCCCTCCCCTCCCCTCGGCTTGGGCACTTGGCAGCTCCCCGGCTCACACCTCCCTTCGCCCCAGACGTTCCCACCAGGAAGAGCTGATTGGTCAGCTTAGGTCACGTGCCCACCCGAGAGCCAATCCACGGCAGGAGTCTTGGCTCTGCCCACCAATGGCAGCTCCCACCCTAACACCTGTTGAGCATGGGAAGCATCTGTGTTCCCACCCGCCCCCTGAGGCCTCGGAAGGAGGAAGCTTCCAGAAAACTCCATCTCCAAGGGCCTGGGCCCCAGACGTGCCTCCCAAGCTGCAGGTGGGGAACTGGAGCCCATGCGGCCTCCCCATTCCCTACCCTCAGCCCGAGGCCGCCACCCCTTCCCTGCAAGACCCCAATCCGGCATGGCTGCGTGGAGAGCTGCTCCGATGTCCCCTGGGCCTCCGGTCCCAGGAACTGGCTCCGGGCTGTCCGGCCGCACTGGTTTCCCCTCCCTCCAGGCCCCAGCAGGCCCTGTGCCCGGCTGGCCCAGGCCTGGCTCTGATGGACGAGGGCCCCACACGAGTGGCCGCAGAAACGTTTCCGAAGGTGGTGAGGGACCACGCTCCGTGCAGGCTTCCATGACAGCACCAGCCAGAAATCCCAGCGAGGCTGGAGGCGGCCAGTGCCCGGCCAGACTGCTGGGCTGGGCTGGGCACAGGAGGAGGGAGGCCCTGGGGGGCGAATGGGACACGGAGCAGGTGGGCTAAGCTCAGGGCCGGATGGGGTGCAGCTTGCGTGGGAACGAAGGGCTGGATGCTGAATCCCTGGGGGTCAGAGTGGCCTCGGGGGGAGGGTGCTCTCGGTCCAGCGCCCCTGGCTGAGGGTGGTGTTGGGACACCCATACACCCAGCCTGTCCACCTCTCGTCTGGCACTGGGTTTCCGACGGGAATGGGGTTTGGAGTCTGATCAACGGAATTTGAATTCCAGCTTCGTCTCTAAAAAGTTCTGCGACTTTGGGCAGTCGAGTTCCTCCCTCTGAACCCAGCCTGCTCATCCCTGATTGGGCAGGGCCACGCCTACCTCGCTGGGTCGCCAGGAGGAATAAATGAAGGACCACCTGCCAGTGGCCAGGACCTGGGCACACTGCTGGAGAGAATGGTCATTGCTCCCAGCGGGTCCCCGAGGGGCACTCAGAAGCTTGAACGCCGGGAGTCCTAGCGGGGCTGGACACGGGCATGGACTGTGTGCCTGAGCCACGCTCCTCAGAGGGTGGCCATGGTACCGGAAATGGTGTAGGTGGGAAGCTTTTCCAATACACACACCAGGCCCCGCCCCAGAACCTTGGCAGGCAGGAGGCTCTTGGAGAGGGCCAGCGAGGACCACCCCCACCCAGGCCCTTTGCTAGTGGGAGCCCCCTTTTTGACAGACTCCCATGCACAGGCCATCAGGAGAGTCACAAAGCTGTTTATTTTCCCACCTGTGGTCAGAGAAGAGGATGCAGGGAGCAGAGAAAACCCTGCCGTTCCCCTGGTGAACATACCGGGGCCACACACGGAGTTTTTCTGTTGAAACAGAACAGCGGTTTACCTCCCCAGTGTCCTGTGAGGCACTGTGCCGCGCTGCTTCTGGGCAGGGCCTGCCAACCTGCTAGTCTACAGCAGCGTGTCCGTGGAATGGGGCACGCTGATTGGCCAAAAAGTACCAAATGTCAGCTTCCATACAATGGAGCAAAAACGGGTCTTTTCTTGGCATTCTGAGTAATTGCCCCCTGAAAAGTGTCTCTCTGTCCTTGATCCTTAGCCATGCCCAGCCCACAGGGAGAGTAAAGGCAGCAACAGGTAACATTTGCATTAAAAAATAAGCAAGGTTTTCAACCAAACAGTTGAGTAATTGCATTCATTATTTCAACACCAAAATACGCCAGGCGGATGTCAGCCCACCACAACAAACAAATACATAAAATCAGGAAATGTCTGGGCGGCACAAACAGGGGCAGGGCACAGTCGCTGGCAGCAATGAGTTGGCCTGGAGGTGCAGACTTGGCTGAGCCATGGGCCAGCCCTCAGAACCAGTACTCGGAGACGAAGATGTGGACATTGACGATATTGCGGTGGTTCACCACGCCCCCGACCACGTAGTTCATCTCCAGCTTCAGGACCGCGTGGAACGGGCCCACGATGGGCCGCACCTGGCGCACCACCCCTGGGGGGAGAGAAGGTGTTTTGGAAGTTAGCAGGGGCTGTGGGCACACGGAGGTCTGGGAAAGGACTTTCTCTCGAGGATTTTGAGAACCCGAAGGGGCCTGAGACCTCCTCTCATCCCGCTCTGAGCCAGATGCTGAGGCCCCTGCACAGCATCTTCCCCCAAGTGGTCCCGCCGGGCTCTGCTTCCACCTCCGGGGACGAGTGAAGTGAGCTCAACAGCCTTTCCAGCGTGCGCAGCTCGGACTGTGAGGGGAGTCAGACGGCTCTGGGGCCACGCCAGCTCCTGCTCTCTCCCAGCCCAGGTTCCTCCTCTCCCCCTCTCCCCGACAGAGGATTTAAGAGCCTAGAAAAGGGCCTGGCATGGGGTAGGTGCCCAGTAGATACCTGCCCCCTCCCTCCTGCCCACTGTGCCCAGTCCGGACCCTCAGGAAGAAACAAAGCAGGAGGGAATCTCTTCCCCGTCATATGGAGGACTCCTGTGGGGCCCTGGGATCCCCTTATCCAAGCACAGGAGTCCCACCTCCCATGGGACAAATCCCCAAATCCCTCTCTCCACGTCTCTGTGGACGGTGACACCTGAGCTCATTGCCCAGTGTTTGTGGTAACAGGTGAGCAAGAGGTGGGGGGCAGAGGTTCAGAGGGGTTCCTCCCCTCGGCTTGGGCACCTGGCAGCTCCCGGGCTCACACCTCCCTTCGCCCTAGACATTCCCACGCCACAGCGCCCTCCCTCAGGAAGAGCTGATTGGTCAGCTTACAGGAGGACAGGTGACGACGGAGGGAGGACAGGTGACAGGGGAGACAGGTGACGGAGGGGAGGCAGGGATCAGGGAGGCAGAACCTGCTGCTGGGGGTGGCAGGGAGCAGGCAGAGGCCATGACCGGTGCCGCCCCTGCTGGGGCTCAGAGCGCGGGGTGCAGGTGGGAGTGGGAGAAACCCCCGTGCCCTGCAGACGCGCAGGGGGGCAGGACTGGGTGGCAGGAGTGGATTCCATGACTCTCCCCAAACCTGCGCCTGCTCGGCCAGCCCTGTGTCTCCAGGCCAGGCCCTGCCCGGCCCACCTCGCCTGTGCCCACAGGCAGGAACCCTGTGCCTTTGGACTGGACGGTCCTCCCCTCCCCTCCCCACAGCATCTCCCAAGGTGTGAGCCCAGGCGTGCGGGCACCGTCCCTCCCCAGCCCCAGCAGCTGTGCTCTGTGACAGACAACCATGGACCCTCTCACAGCCAACGAGGACCTGGGTAAGCACATCGCTGCCAGGTTGCGCAC